TCCGAAACCATCTCCATATCAGAAAGAGCTTTGTGAAAGGATTTTATTTCATTATTATTTTCTCTTTACTAGAAATTGTTTCTGTTTTAGTCCAAGTAAATTTTGTTTGAATGTTTGGATTTTTGGAGTTCTTTTGATAGGCAGGGTTGCTTGGTATAACGTGACTGACTTGTCTCTTCCTAGGGTTCACGATTGGATCTGTAAACTCTATATGAAGGTTGTCTTGTATGTGTTCATGATTTTAATACAATGACTGCTCTTTTATGATAAAAAAAAGAATCGAGAGTACGTATCATGTTTTTTATTCCCTGAATAGAAGTAAATTTCTATCAAGTTTGGCGTTACTAGTTTTAAACATGATATTTTTTTTCCAAATTTCGCATAATTACTCTATTTAACGAATAAAAACATGAAAGTCTCATATTGAAATTTCAAAACATTTTATTCCTATTTTGGGTAATTTCTATAGGTAGCACAGAATATAAAACTTTGGGGGATTTACCCAAATAAGAGTAATTAAATTATTAATTGCTAAAATAGGACTAAAGTTTAAAAATTCCCCAAATGGGAGTTATTATATGTAGCTATACAAAAGTAGCCCTGAAACTTGACAAACATACTCTCGCTGACTGACCGACCGACCGCCGGACAGACCGTTGTTGACCGCCGTCGGCCACCGCTGGCCGCCACAACCCACCGTTGCATCATCAAAACTAGCCGCCCCTGCCAATCTGACCGCTGCCGCTGCAGGCCGGGCCGCCGCCGTAGATCTAAGCAGATTTGGCCACCGCCGCTCACCAACTGCCGCCCTTAAAAATCCGGTAGCCACCCCCACATATCCGGCCACTGCTACTGCAGTTCCGACCACCATCGCCGATGTCGTCGGTTTTTTAGCAGAATGCCAACACGAATCGAAAATGCCATATTAATGGCATTTTCAAAGGTAAATTGAAAGTTTTTGAAGAACAAAAATGTCATTTTGATGGCATTTCCAGAGGAAAATTGGCAATTGTAAAAACCAAAGAAGAAGATGGACATCAGATCTGCGACCGAACAGAATACTAGAAAGAGACAAACACAGAAGATTGAGAAGGAGGAAGGAGGAAGAAGAATGAGTTACTTTACTCCGCCAGTCCGCCGATGCTCGCCGCCGCTCTCCGCCACCCTCGTCGCACCTGAAGGGCTCGTTGCTGGTTGCCAATCAAAGAAAATGAGAGGAGAAGAAAACCTAATCTATCAGGGAGGAAGGGAAATTGAATACGGAGTAATAATGTGTGGAGCAAGGGGAAGGTTTGAGCGGAGCATAATGTCACACGTATGAGGGTAATTTTGGAATGGTGGTCCCATTTAGAGAAAATAAATTAACTGCTCCTATTTGAGATTTTGACTAAAAATTTAGTCCCACGGAAGGCAATTAGTTCTAAAACTTTTAAAAGCCGTTATTCAATTGGATATCAGTACGAGTCAGATACATTTCAATTCGATTTTTGTGTTCACCGCTGGACAAACATAGACTTAAGCTACAGAACCTGATCCAGATTCCGGGGTAAAGTTAAAAATGCAAGTAGAACGTCCTGATTTTTTAACGGAACAAATAGGATCATAGAATACTGCTCTCCTTGCAATTACTCATATTACTTTGCAAGGAGGCAACGGAGCACCACACAGGCATGCATTTCCGGCAAACGCACTGGCCGTGAAGTTCGTCGGCGGTAGCTGACCACACAGCCGATTGTGGCTGAGATTCACCTTCTGAAGATCTGCGACGGCGGCGGGAACTTTCCCGAAAACCATGTTTCTAGCCAAGTCCAACTCCTTCAATTCCACCACATTAAGCCTCAACTTCTCCAAATCAAACTTCAACTTATTCCCAGCTGCATAAAACCCTCTCAAATAATCCGTCATGTTGAGCAATCCCACCGGGCTCCCTGTTATTTCGTTCTCCGACAGATCGATGTAGTTGAAGAACAAATACGACTGCGGTTTCCAATCGTCGAGGTTTATCTTCAGCCCGCATTTCGCCAGCCTCAAGATGAACAGATTCGGAGACGATGTAGCGAAGGCCGGAATGTCCTTCAGGTGAAATTTGTTGTACGACAGATCCAGTGATTGCGCTCGTAAGACGTTCATCTCCGGGAACGGGTCTTCCAGTGAGTTATGGGAAAGGATGAGGTCAAATATTGTTGTCAGGTTGAAGAAAGTTCCGGGGACAACGCCGGAGAAATTGTTCCAGGAGAGATCTAGGGTTTCCAGCACAGGAGAGTTTCCGAGGAAATCTGGGATTTTCCCTATTAAGTTGTTGTGCCCGAGTTCCACAACTATTAACTGGGACGGCAGACTTGAAACACTGCTCTGGATTTCGCCGGAAAATTTGTTGAAGGAGAGTCTGAGTCTCTCGAGGTTGGGAAATAAGGCGAAGAAGTCCGGCAAGGGACCGGAGAGTTTGTTCTTCTGCAAGACCAATGTTTTCAGTTGCTTGAGGTTCAGGAGACTGTCCGGAATAGCGCCGGTGAGAAGGTTTCCGCCGAAGTTAAGGTCATTCAACTCCGTCAAGTTTCCGATAGAACTCGGTATCGGACCGGAGAACCGGTTCCCTTCGAAACTTAAAGAACGGACTGGGGTTAGTTTGCCAATGGTTTCGGGTATACGACCCGACAACCTGTTATCCACAATGAAAAGGTTTCGGAGCCTCGGAAGCGTGAAAAGAAAATCCGGAAAAGGACCAGTCAAGTTTTTTAAATATTGAAGTAAAATGCTATCAAGATACTTGAGTTTTGTGAGTGAGGGTGAAATAGTGCCTCCAAGAGTTTGATTGAATTGTTCTTGCCCATAAAAGCCTAGAAAAGTGACTCTATGATGTTTAGATCCACATTGTATACCGGACCATTGACAACAATCAGATCCGGGTACCCACGAGTTAAGCGAACCGGATGGATCACTAGTAATACCCGACTTGAACCCGAGAAGACCGGCTTCATCTTCCGGGTGGCACGGAGCTGCCGTGGCTGCCAGGCAGAGAAAGGAGATTATGGTGAAAGAGAGTAGAAGAAGAGCAGAGGGATGATACATTTTGAAGATGTGTTATGACAATGAAATGGTTCATGGCTTGCTGTTATATTCAAATGTTGGTCAATATAGGCAGCTGAAATGGGTTGATTAGTCCACAAGCTGTTTGCAATTCATAAAAGCATATCTACATACACGTTTTTCTTCTTCACACGTAAACTTACAAGTTTTTTGTCCATTTACATAAAATATGGTTTGTTAGAACTTCGAACATGTTGGATTGGGATTGAAATCCTCCAACGTTTAGTACCTTTGCTATATAGGTTTATTGGGGGTGGGGTGCAAAAAACATTGTACAATTACTTCATATTCTTCTCATATTTTCCTACACTTTAGGCTTATTCTATACTCTACTATGATATAATCTTCATCAATTATACTATCTACACATTTTCAATGTATCAATATTCAATTATTCCCTTAATATAGCTGTACTATTATTAAATTATTATTAGTGGTTTTATTCATACTTTAGTACTAGTGATTATATTTATTATTGTTTACACATGGTATTGGTCAAGTTTAATCAGGGCTGACTTCTCTGACTTGGCTAATTAGGTTGTGGGCCATGAAAGATGTTAACCACTTGCTATTTGATTCATTAGTATAGAAGCTAGTTTGCTTATTTTATTATTATCGATCTAAGTGGTTTATATAACATGATGAGTTTTGTTTGTGGACATAAGGACATTGTCTATAACTTTTCTTTTGCTACACTTAACATAAGACAGATGCCCACAGCAAACATTTGTTTGTTTGTCCCATTGGTTATTGAGGAGTTGTTTACTAATGACCACTACAAACCTTTTGGTCTTCTCACAGGGAGGATCTACCTCTGAGTTATGGTGTGCTTAAGCCAAAAGTAACTTAGTTTTTTTTTTCACTCTTAGTGTATTTTTTTACGAGTACATCTTTCATGTTTAGCTCACCCGCTAATGTTTAAGTCTATTATACTTGCTCTTCAGCCCCAAGGCATGCCAGATTCCTGGATATGCTCCTGTTCTTAAACGATCTTTAATTGAGAGAGAAGGGGAGCGATGATTCTCTTTAAGTCCAATGAAAAAGACAATGTATTGAAGCATAACTACGTTCTGCAAGAAGAAGATAATGATCACAAGTTGGCCATGCTTCAGAGATACAAAAAGTCTGACAAGTGGGATAAGTTAAATTTAAGGAAAGACATGAGCGAAGGTCGAAGAGGATAGTTACACAATAAACGTACTGAGAATATAGAGAACCTCGACAGTAGAAGTATGAATGTTCACAAACAAAGAGAAGTGAAGATAAATAGAAATTTGATAAAGAAAAATAGACAAAACTCTTCAAATCACTTAAGATGAGCAAATGGAAATTTGAAACTCCAAGACGAATTTGATATTTTGAAGAAATGCCAAAATGAGTATTTTAAGAGAAATTCAGATTTAAGACTAATGTAAAGATGTTTGGGACAGTAATGGGACTTTTAGTACCCTATGATTGAATCACATATATGGTCTCAGATAAAAATATAACATAAATGAGGCTCAGCTTCCAAATCAAAATCTCTTAAGGGCTTCATGCCTTTCTTTCACAGTCATAGACCAATATATCAAAGGCTAAGTAGCCTAAGTGTTGTCATTACTGTATGTGATATTGCCACGATGACACAAATCTCTTTTTAGGAAACTGATAAGTTTTAGTACCCATAAGTTTTAGTACCCATATTAAACTGATATTAAGTTTCTTGTAGGTAAACTGAGTTCGAAAGATTCAATTGTACCAAAAAAAAGAGCATCAATTTAATAAGTTACTAGGAATAGAGCTTGAGCTAAACATTAGTAAATATGTTCTACTTTAAAGTACTTACCAAATTTGAGAACTCCTTAATTCGTTTATGTGTTTAAGATATAAACCACTGATTTTAGTTATACGCTCAAATAAACGAACACAAAAGAAACGGTGAAAGAAGATTTTATTGGATCAAATGATCAATATATATAATACAATAGTATGTGCCATGTATAGCATATACTGTTCCTCAGTACAAATAATCTAACTTTCTAACACTTGTTTAGGACTAGTTTCTTCCTAATCCTGCTAAACTTCTTATTTCCTTCCTTTTTGTCTATCTCCTAGCTTAGCTTTTTGCCTTCAACCTTTGCAATCCTTATGCCTCCCTGACCTGCTGCTGCTTGAAATTGACAGTTAACAGCTTCTTATCTTATTGCTGATGAAGTCTGTTCGAAGACCAGTAGCTACAAAATTGGAACTTTACTGTAAACGTTTTGCCCATAAATTCTCTCAATGTCCACCAGAGTCCAGAAAAAGTCTTCTCAGTTCTGACTTCACAAAACTTGATATTTCTTCAACCTGTTCCCTGCAATCTTGCATCAAAGGCATGGATGAGTAAAAAGTAAAAGGGCTGCATTCTGCTGCTATTATCATTAGTTTATATCTTATAACCCAACATTGGGTTATATTAAACCAAGCCATTTCGTACTATTAGCATTCTGCTGCTATTGAACACATAATGCCAAAAGGTAGAGCCGTTTGAAAATATTTTTGTGGCTGCCATCTTCTAATGACTTGAAAGAAATAGTTTCAAAATAAATCACTATATTAGGATAATGTCTCATCACCTAGTTCAAAAAGTTTACGAAGAAGTAATTCTCCTTAGGTACATACCACGGCGTGAAGTTAACATGGGCGAGATGACAATGTGGTATGTACCTAGTACCTACTGCAAGAGGAGCAGGCATGAACTTAACAGTTGTTACAAGAAAACTGGGAAGCACCCGGAGTGGTGGTACGAGAATCCTGGAAGTGGTCGTGGCGGACGCGTACAGACTAGATCAGAGAGAGGATGAGGAAAACAAGTGGTGCACGCAGTCATTGATTCCCAATATGATGGCAAGGTAGAGATTGAAACTAGGGGATACACACAGCCCACAAGCTTTAGTAATGAACAATGGCATGGATACCTTGAACTTATGAAAAGTTGCAAGGTGAATTCTTCTGATGAGAAATTGAGAGGTGTGAATAATCAAGTTGATTGGATCCTTGATTCCGGAGACTCTTAGCATATGACTGATTGCTCTAGTTATTTGACTTTTGCTAACAAATTGGTGACATTTCCTAATGGTGATATAACCCATGTCACCAGTGTAGGTCAAGTGAAGTCCATAGACCGTGCTCCAAAATGTTTTACTAATTCCAGATCTTGCATGCAACTTGATATCTTTAGCACAGTTGATGGTTGATCTTAATTATGATATACTACGTATATTTTACTAATCAGTTTTGTTGATATAGGACCTGCCTACGAGTAGGGGTGTGCACGGGTCGGGTTCGGGCGGGTCGGGTTTGCGAACCCTAAACCCGTTCGGGTTTTTTAATTTAAATACTAGGCCCGACCCTTTGATATTTCAAATCGGGTATTTCGGATATTTTTAAGTCGGATATTATCGGATATGGGGCCGGGTTTCGGATATTTCGGTTATATTAAAAAAAATTATAATTGGATAATTAAAGTGTTTAAATGTCACTTTGACAAAAATTGTACACACTAGTGCACTAAACTTCCAAATTACACAAATAATTTAACACAAATTGCACAAATAATTACACAAATAATTGAACACACGTATTAATTTAACATATTCAAAGTACACACTACATAATTTAATATATTTCGGATATTTTGGTTATATCAAAACACATTATAATTGGATAGTTAAAGTGTTGGAATGCCACTTTAACAAAAATTGTACACACTAGTTCACTACACATTCAATTTATACAAATAATTTAATACAAAGTGTACAAATAATTTCACAAATAATTGAACACAAGTATTAATTTAAATATTCAAAGTACACACTAACATATATTTCGGATATTCGGGCGGGTCGGGTTGGGAATTTACAAACCCTACCCGCCACCCGATCTAGGCCCAATACTAATCGGATTTTCGGTTTCAGGTTTTTCGGGTCGGATATCCACTTCGGTTCGGATAATATCCGCAAAAATATCGGATTTTTCGAGTCGGATCGGGTTTTGCTCAACCCTACCTACGAGGATGCTGATTGGAGCGGGTAAAAGACGTGCGGGAGTTCATTATTTTCACACACTAGATTCCGTTTTGACAATTTATGGCGCTCACAGTTAGAACATCCATCAACAAAAGTGTTACGCTCGATCTCTAGTTTATCTTTAAATAGTACTATACGCTCAAACGTTTCCTTTTTTCATATACAGAGTATTAAATTAAAAATGATGACCCGATAAGCAAACGTTTATGCCTCTAATTTAATTAAAGCTCTAATTGACTCATACCTATGCTATTAAAACCGGATCGAGAAGCGATTCGGCTGAGTGACCAGGTCACGAGTCAACGTGTACCTGGCGGGTGAACCCAGTCAATAACTGGAAAAACTGATCAACATTTCTAAATTTTTATACAACTTAACATATAATAATATACTACATAACATTTAAATAGAAGGTATTTATTCTTCAAAGTAATGAAATAATTTTAATACTTAGTAATTAGTAATCATTGAAAACACACATAATATTTCAAAACACACATAGTTTTGACATGATTTTCGCTCTACTATAAACATTCAAATGCATCACATACATCTTTTCAAACATAAATATAAAAACACCTACCCTTTCTTTACCTACACTCATTACAAAATCTTAAGAAATTGTATAATTATTTTTCACTTATATAGAATGTTATTTACATAATGATACCAATAACATGAATTGTTCTATTTATTATGTGCTAAATAATAATTAAAGATCACATTTTGATTTGTTAGCTAGCTATATAGGGAAGAAAAAAATAATACTACCTCCTTCCCATATTAGTTAGCTATCTTTGATTTTTCCAGTCAAAGATTGATAAACTTATGTTATTTAACTAATATACTTATGAAAAATTTAATACATTTATACTTTTATAATAGCATTTTTGACAGAATATTTTTATATCGTTTTCATATTATAAATACTTATGTATTTAAATATACAATTTGTTAAACTTAGACACCATTGACTTGAAACATAGTGTTTGACCAACTAAAATGAGACGAAACGAGTATAATTATGCTAGAGGAACATTCCCCGGATGCCATGTTGTAGACCAGAGATTGATTCTCATCCAGGAAATATTAGTTTTAATTAGCCGTCTAACTTGGGACGTTTTCCGGGTTTACCAGGTTTAATTTGATCCGTCCAGGTCAGGTCTAGGTTAAAACGTGTTTCTGGGTTTTTGCACGGTTACCTTGATAAACGGGTTGATAGGCAACCGGTCCAGGTTGAATACAGGATCGCTGCTTTCCTGGTGGACCCGCCTGGTCCTGTAAGATTCTTGTAACACAGGACCCATGCCACCAATTCCCAATTTCATTTGGATGTATTCTACCACACCTACTTGTTCTAATCCAAGTATCCAACCCGTGTGGGTGTGGGCTTTGGCTGAGTCCCACATTAACTTGTTATACGTAGTACATTATAAAACAACTAATTACGGTAGTTTGATTCCTATACGGTGTTGGGGCTACATTTTTTTAATCTTACAGAGCTTATTGTTTATTTAATCGTTTTGGAGATTTTCTCATCAATTAATGTCACGCTATCTATGAGGAAAATATTTTTGTTCAAAAGTTGGCCTTTTTTTTGCTATGGAGAGAATGAATAACGCCCAACTTGAAATTTTCTACTGCGGGTGATAAAGGTTAACAAGATTACAAGATAACTAGATAAGTACTTCAATAACAAAGTCAAGTATGTGCAAGATTTTCTTGGGCCAATGAAAGAAAGGATCGGAGTAGAATAGTTCATGGCTTAAATGGTTTTATTACGATTGAAGCTATGGTTGGTTATTATACTTATCATTTTTTTTTATTTAAAGATGCTGTGATATGAGCAATGAACTTGGAGATTTTGAATTAGCCGCTTAAATGGTTACCGTTAGATTTTGGGGTTGCTATTTAGTGGGATAAAATTTAAACACCTTTGGTTATAATTTATAAATGGATTAAAAAAAAAAGGGATTCAAGTACGCCATCTTCAATTTTTTTGAAGTATGGCAGTATGGCACCATGATTGAGTTATGGGCTGCTATGGATGGACTAAGAAGAAATGGAGAAAGAGATGAAGCTTTATAGCTTCTGAGCAATCAAATTAAATGGGAAAAGGGGCAAAAACACCCTTAAAGTTGCCCCCAAAGGGGATGTAAGCCCCTAAACTTTTCTTTTGGGTATTTTAAAAATTTTGATAAAGGGGCAACGCCGCCCTTTATTTAACGGTGAACCAACTTAAGGGATGGCAACCGTTTGTTGCTCCTTGCAGTCCTGTTTTTTTATCGAGCTCCTTTCAGTCCTTTGAACGGTCAATGTAGTAGTATATTTTACATTTATTAATTAAACTAGTTTTGTAAATTAGTTGGATCATAAAATTTTAAATAAAACAATTACAAATACAAGTAAACCATAAAAAGTGACATAGTAATTAAATTACTATTATACATAAAAGTATTTCCTCTATCCCGCTAAGATTGTCTTATCTTTCCTTTTCGATCTGTCTCATTAAGACTGTCTCATGTCAAATTTGATATAGTTTGTATAGTTCTAAATCATTCATGTTTTATTCTTACCATATTAATTCAATATCAATCACATAAAATCACTTTTCTTGATAATTGTGTCACTTCCTCATGTCCCAATGTTAGTGGGATGAGGTAGTATTAGCAATTAGAAGAATTACCCCGTACTATGGCTAGACCCCTTTGATAACATTGAAATTGACTTAATTGATTGAATATACTAAAATTAATGAAATTTTGACCGAAACAACTCAATTAATTGAAGGGAAAAGTACAGAAAAGGTACATGTGGTTTCGATCGTTTTCAGATGATGGCACATGTTTCATTTTTTAACAAAGTGGGACATGTGTTTCAATTCCGTTATCACAGAAAAGGCATGACGTCTAGCGCCGTTAGAAAATCTAACCCCGATTTTCAAAAGTATTCGAAACATTAAAATAAAAATATTGGGAGGTGCGCCTCGTCAAGGAGACCAACAAACTATCTTTCTTTCTTTGTTTCCAGCCACCATGTCGCCAAAAAATCCGTCGAAAAAGTGATATTAACAAATTCATTTTTTTAAAAAATAATCCAAATAAAGCCGAAAAATTCAAAGAGAATGATAGTTTGTTGGCCTCCTTGATGAGACGCACCTCCCAGTATTTTTCTTTTAATGTTTCGGAGACTTTTGAAAATCAGGGTTTAATTTTCTAACAGCGTTAGACGTCATGCCCCAGTTGTGATAACAGAATTGAAGCACATGACCCACTTTGTTAAAAAATGAAACACGTGCCCCTATATGAAAACGACTGAAACCACAGGTAAATTTTATGTACTTTTCCCTTAATTGAATCTATTGAACTACAAAGAAATGATATTTAGAATATATTTTTATTAATATCCCCTTTGTGTCATTCAACATTTTTCGTCGGTTGGATTTACTTTGTCTCATACCATATTTGATAATATTTAGGCAATCACAATTCATTCTTAATTTATTCACTTTTTATCAATTTATTTAATACGAGAACACAATCTAACTTTCCATAATGACTGCACTATTCCCTCTATCTCATATAGTAATATAAAGAAAAAGTTAGATGAAAAAGTTAAAACAGCTAGCTTTAAAAAAATTGAGTCAATTTTACCAGCTTCACACTCACTTAACTTGATTATTATACAATTCATCTAAAACAACTGATTTAAAATAGTTTGACAAAAACATAACTAATAAGTCGAAATTTGAAACCATATTATCGAACAGGTTTTGTGTGGTAAATATGGTAAAACATATGCAACACAAATATAGTCTATTTGTATTTCTTAATATTTATATTAAAATATAAAACAAAATTGACATGTGTATTACTAACAAAATTTTTCTGGACATGAATATGATTAGTTATGTTTAGGGCAAAAGCATAACTAGTAATTGCGTGCGAGTAACTAGACAATAATCATTATAGTATATTTCAGAACAACAAGTCACTAGTAAATGATGAGTCACTAGAATATAATAATCACTGAATATGTCACTTTTCTAATTGCTAATAACTTTTGGGGGTTTCATTAAATATTACCGATGAAAAAGTTATGGATAAAAGTATCACCTAGTAACTTTTAGCGATTATTAATAAGTTCGTAGTTACATCGTAATAACTTACATGTCATTACTAAATTTAAACACAATTATTGTCACTAATAGTTATTAAGTGGTGATTTTGTCCATCATATTTTAAAAAGTAATATTAATAGAACTTTTTCATAACTTTTTTTTGTATAATTATTGTTATATTACATCAATCGCTTTTTATTGGATACTTGTTGAAGTCTCACAATGGAAAATTGACAATGGAAAATTGTGAAGAGTCCCTCCGTCTCTTAAAACTTTGCCAATTTTCCTTTTTTGGATGTCTCATTAACTTTGCAACATTCTCTTTTAAGTAAATAATTTGTGGTTCAAGTTAATTCTCTTTCCTCTGCACAAATCTCTACCACACAGTTTTTACTTTATTAATTACCGTGTCTTTAAGGGACAGAGATAGTAATAAAGTGTTATATTAAGATCTGGGTTACATATCATACCTGATTGATCTTTTAGATGAAAATTTATATCTTTGACACTACTTATATATGCAATTGTTTTTTTTTTTTTAATATTTTTTAATATTTTTCAACTCATTTACAAAATTAGTTATAACTACAATTCCATTGAAAAGTCAAAGGAGCCATGTGAAGACTTGCTAGCGCCGTTAAATTGCTTCACGTTAAAGAAGGGGGTCATTGCCCTCTTTCGAGGGATTTTAAAGTTTTTTGCACAAAGTAAAAGATTAAGGGCATTAGGGCATAGATGCCCTTTAGTGACTACTTGAGGGGTGCTTTTGCCCCTTTTCCCAAATTAAATTCCCCAATCTATCTATATAAATTAGCAAGAAATGAAGGCACAATAAAAATTAAAAAGATCATCATAAGCGTGAGTAGTAATATTATCAAGTTCCATGAATTACCATAGAAGAAAACTCTTGGCAAACAAGTTCTCCCACACATTACATTGTGGTCACAAAATTTCAAAATGATAAGCAAGTGACAAGAACATAACATAATCTCTGATGAGTAAAGCTACTTAAAAAGTGAAATAAAAACAACACCTTGCCAAGAAATAATACAAATACTTAGTAACCACCCTTGAGATCGTTGACAACATCATAAGGAATGGGTGTCACAGTCTCCAAGGTAGCACCTTCTACCATAAATCCGGGTTGAGGACCTTTGGGCTGCCTTTTGGTACTGATAACCACACCTTTAGCCTTTGCCTCAGCCTTGAGCCGATCATTTTCTTTCACCCTCTGCTTAAACTCCTCAGTACACCTGGATGCTTGAACATGCTCTATGCGGACATGAAGCCTCTTTTTCAGGATCTTGTTCCTAACCTGTGATCAACAAAGCATTGCACCATTCAGTTTAATCAGCACCTTGGTCACAAGAAAACTAACCAACACATAAATGAATTATATTATAACGGAGTAGTAATCTTAATGAGCATGTAACATTAGGCATGTAGGGTGATAAGGTTAATAATTAAATCATGGTTGTGAAATAAGTACATTAAATTAATATAAAAGAGTCAACTGTCAACATATATTGAATTACTTAATGCAGAGTAATTAGTATGTAGAACCAATCAATTACTTCCATGTGGAATTAAGTGGTCATTAGTGAGCATGCTGCATGCTCATCAAAATTATTGTAAATTATATACCTATGTTTAACATATAGTTCCTCATCCGGACATAAAGTTTAGCTTTACTATTCTCACTGTTAACTTCACTTTTACACTATTTTCTGCAGCTCAATAGCACTTCTATTATTGATTTTAAATTTGAAAATTAAAATTATTAATTTGTGTTCTATTTGGGGGATTTTTAGCTTTCCAGTTACTGAAACATTGGATTGGGATGTCACTACTTATCAGGGAATTGCTGCAAGTTTGCCCTCATTTCATACAAATTAGGAATTCTTCCAAACCTTAACAATAAAATTAGTAGTTCTTAGGAATGACATTTTATTCCATTTCCCTGAACTTTTGCCATGCAATTCTAAAATAAAAATTCAGCATAAATGTCAAATTTTATTCAGGACTAATGAGCAATTTTTCAATTGTTTACTTAATCAGCTAATACTGTTACACTTATTTCATTCACAACAGACCAGTCACATTCAGATCACAACAAAGAATACCATTACAACATGACAAGGATAAAAACAATGTAGGTAAGCATATAGACAAGTCACAAAAAAATTATAAACCTGTTCCACATACATATAATTTCGAGATTCAAACAACAAAGAACTGATTCGAGTATCTAAAACACGTGTTGATGTTTCTAAAACATGCAAGTGCTAATACTACTTACATATTTACGTAATATTAAATTACTTTTTTTTTGTAATTACAATAATTTTGATCTGATATAAATTTATTTGACATGATAAATTCCATTATTTAAAAGACTAGACCAATAAGACAGTTCGAACTACTGATTAAAATTAATGCTAAATCGATATATTTGCCAAATTAAAACTGTACAATGCGCACACACCAAATTTTGTCAAAAAACACTATAGTTTGATCAATAAACTTTTAGAATGCGCACAATAATTAGTTACAAACAGAAGAATGCAAAACTGGATCAATAAAAGTTTGAATAAAGTCCCCTATTTTTTAAACGAGAATAATTGATTTGTTACAAAAAAAAATTAAAATAAAAAATCTAAGAATAAAAACTCAGCACATAAATTATACAGAGTAATTCCGATTTCATCTAGAAAATGAAAACAGCAGAAGCTTTGATTCCCAACACATCCAAATTGAACAACATATGATAACCTAGTCCGCATATGCTATGGAATATACCTGCTTGTTCACTTCGACACCAACTGCGCGCTTGGTGACGTTCCAGACGCGACCGGTGCGGCCATGGTAGAACTTGTGAGGCATTCCCTTGTGCACAGATCCGTTGACCTTGATGTCGACATAGTCGCCGACGCGGAGGACCCGGAGATGTGTGGAGAGCGCGATGGGGCCGCGCTTCCTGAAACCACGTTGGAAAAGGTCCCGTGTCCTCGCCCTTATTCCGTGACCAGCCGGCATCTTCCTCTTCTTCCGCCTCCGACGAGCTGCTCCGTAGGGGTTTGCTAGAAGTGAGATGCCAAACCCTAGTAGACAGAAGACGCTGCACAATGCTTAACGATAGGTCTGGACTTGTTATTATTATAGCTAGCTAGTGGGCCATTCAATTCTAATTTGGGTAATTTTATTTTTCGGGCCCAAAACGTGGCCCAATTTGTGCTTCTGGGATTTATCGTCTCTGTCCTCAGAGAGAGACAACGGAAAGCTTTGAGATTTTGGTGGCTATGGGGACTCGGGAGGTTTATGAAGAGAGGTTGAGAACAGGGAATCTGCATCATGATCCGACCATCAAGCCTGGACTGGGTTCTGCTCGCTGCCCTCGCTGCTTGTCTCTCTTAAACCCGACTTCTGTACGTTCGCTCACTTTTCTTCTTCTTCATTTGAGAATTGTTTCATAGAAATTGAGCTGTGATTATTAGTTTTTCTAATTATTGTATGATGGATACGGGAACAGGACGAATCAGAATGGACAATCACACCGGTTTTGCATGACTTTACTGCGGTGGTATGCGGTTTTATTCCTCTTCATTAGCTGTTTGGATGCTCTTTTTTATGTCTAGGTGTTTTGTGTTGAAATATAGAACCCTAATTTTTGTGAGATTTTTGGATTTCTCTCACATGTTCTTTGCACGTCTTCTCTCTTCTGAAGTTGAGAAAAAAATAATGAAAATGAAAAGAAAGAATCTCTTTCACCCTGTCAACGGTGTGACTATGTGAGCAAGTGTACCCTAAAAAGAAAAGCGGCTCATAGTCACACAGTGTTAAGATATATGTGGTGATGGTTGCCTATCTCTACAAAGGCACAACAACAACAACAACATTCAAGCCTTATTCCCAAAAGATTTTGGCTAACATGAATCGAGAGGCACTAAGGCACTAAGTTTACTAAATTATGATGAATTAATATATTTACATATATTAAGTTTATTAAGCTTTTATTTGATTTTGTATCTCACAATTCGTAACACTATAGATCCATGATTTGAAAGTTAGGCCTTGCGATTCTTGATTTGAATCTCAATTTGATGAGCTTGACTATCATGCCCATCTCAATTGTGATATACTCCCTCCGTCCTGTAATTAAGTTCCTACTTTCCTTTTTGGGATGGTCCATATTAAAGTTCCTACTTCAAACCTTTCCTTATTTGGCAAATGATTTACACCAAAACAGTGTCAAACAGTGCCAAACAGTGTTCAAACAGTGCCAAACAGTGTTCATACAGTGCACTCCACAGTAAAGTCAAATTTATTTCTTAATATGTGTGAAGTCAAACTAGGAACATAATTAAGAACCGGAGGGAGTATATGACTATATATTTTAAATTCAATTTTATTCAATTTTAAATATAACAATCCTAGACTCTGGTCACCCTTATGGAGTTATCCTCCATGAGGTTCCAGAAAATGTTAATCAAATTGACATTTTGTTCATCTTAAATCTTTATTTCCAACTTTTTCCTTTACAAGAATATCTTTAATTTTCACCCTCATCTCTCATATGTCATATATCCTTTCTATAGGCTGGCACTGTAATTGGTGGAATGCTTAGCACAGTCTATGGGTTGAACACAGGTATGACTACTGTCATTGGTTGCTTTCCTGTCTTCTCATTTGGTTCCATTGGTTGATGTTCTTATTAATCTTTAACAGAAAAACTATCTTTCAGGTATCCCCTTTGTTCAAAGGCGTGTCAAGGGACCAAAGTGGTTTCCTTTTATCATTGGGGTATTCATTATGCTGTTTTTATGCTTTGCTATTGCCGTAATGTTGTCATGTTGGTATATATTTGAGTTATATTTTATATGTTTAACTTAGGTAGTATTTGATCAACTGTAATGGGATTTAATGTAATCAAATATATTTTTAGTGTATATTTATAATCCTTTCATCCCACTATCTCTCTCCATCTTTCCACTAAGTTTGACCAATACAATATTGAAAAAAGGCAGCCTGGTCATCCTGGTGGCCCTCAAGGTGAGGGTATGAGTAAGGGCCTCATAACAATGGAGTATAGGGTTAAGCCCCCCCCTCCCCCCACATTTTGACAAGAGGCTGCTCTGAAGTTTTGATCTCATGACCGTTGGTCACATAGCAACACCATCACGGGTGCCGGGGCTTCCCCTTAAAAAAGGATGACACCCCATCCACGAAGGCTCCCCTAAAAAAGGATGTCAATGTGTCACCCCGTCCCCAAAGGATCCACTTCAAGTTTGTCCCAAATCATATTTGGTAATATTTAGGTAGTTCTAATTAATTCTTACTTTATTTATACTTTACAAGTTCAATATCAATCACACTATTGAATTTGTTTAATAATCTTGCCACTTTCTCATTTTCTAATCTTAGTGGGATGGAGGAAGTACTATTACATTTCCATTTGATTAAGTTACAAAAACCTGAATGTTACAGACTTACAGTGGTGTCTCTTTTGTTCTACTTTCTTATGTATTTGCCTTTGCAGGTTCCTCCACTTCTGATGTTTTCTGCGGCTAGTGCAGCATTTGGTGGTATGCTTCATCCTAATTTTAGATTTTCAAACTCCAGTGTCTTTTGTTCTACTTTCTTGGTATACTTTCTTTGTTCTACTTGTATATTATATTTATGTTAAGATTTAAGTCTCTCTTGAGGGCCCTATGGTGGCATTAGTCGTCAATACTCTCTTTTTATATTATCTTGAGTTCATTCTATCTAGGAGCACAAGTAAATTTGCATGCATCTCCCTTCGCATGACGATTCTGATGTAAGATATTTTCGCAAACTGGTGTGGGGTTTAAGAAAATATTTCGTTCTCGGAAAGTTAATTATCGAGTAACATGTACTATCCTAACCGTGCTACAAAGAAATTAAACCATAATGCGCTGACTGCTAAAATGTTACTATTTATACCAGTAGGACTTGATCAATTGCTACTCCCAGAGTCCCACTTATTTTCTTGCAGAAGTTTGGTAATTGATCAGACTTTTAAGGTTCTAATTATGCATTGAAGCATGTTTTTGGTTAAATGCTTCTTCAACAAAGCATTCTTAGTTGGTGCTTGTGTTAAGTGGTCATTGAAAAGCAAAACAGTACTATATAACTAATAATCAATTAAATGCTCTGAAAGATATACAACGTATTTGATATCACTATTGATCAACTCTTTGTTTCAATTTTTTATAACCAGTGTATCATTTTCTTATCTGTTTCCTAAATGCAGGCATGGGGATTGATTTAACTTTTTCAGTAACCTCTGTAGATGTCCAAAGAACTTTCTATTTGGCAATGAAGAGAGATATTAATGCATAATAATGACAGTGTCTTTACATCTTGTTTACAGGTCATGCGCTTCCAAAATTTACACAGCTCACTGTGACCTCATATTATGCTGCTTCAAGTGCATCACATCATAGTATATCATTGCTTACAAGGCACATTGAAGAATCACATACTGCAGGCGCTCAACGTGAAAAACTCAGCTGATTACGTCCAGGTGCATATAGTAAGAGTCATCTTTCAATTTTGTAGCAAATACTGTGTATATTTGAATCTAGTTTTATGAATCCAGTCAATGCCTTAGTGCTTGACTTATGGTTATCTATGAGCTGGAGGTTTTTTGGATATGCCAAACCTGTGAAGGCAGGGTTGCTGGGGGGATTGGCATTACTTGAAAGCAAATATGGCTTTCTTATTTTATATGTCATTTGTTTAATTGTTAATAATCTACGTCTGATAACTGCGTTGTTTGTGTTCAGTTTGATTAATGTTAGTTTTGTGTCGATTTAATATGAGTAGGGACTAGGGGTGGACATGATCCGGCTCAGGCATGATGTATAAATCAGATTTATTATGATAAAGATTGGTTCCAATATTTTAATTTTTAATGATGTAAACTTTATACGTTTATACATCAAGAAAAGAATTTATCTATTTACAACCATATTAAAACAGAGTACATGTTTTTTTTTGAGGTTTTAGTGCTCTAGTACGAAAATACGAATTCAAATGTTTATCTCACTTCAAGTCATTGGTGTGGTGCCTCACTGGTTCTGATTAGTTGATGATATATTCAAGTAACTATTGTTATTAAAATGTTACTGTTAATGGGTTAGCCGTTTAGGGCTGCAATGTAATGGGCCTATGGGGTACTATTTCAAACGTTAGGGCCACAATGATGATCTTTTAATTTTTATTTTAAAATCAAATTAAATGCAATTAAATCAGTTGCAAGTTGGAACAAAGTCAAATACGTAGTATATACATTTTCTCTTCAAACTAAACTTAATAAAATCGCATACATTTTATGCATTACAACATTAAATGACAAGTTACATTATCCAAAACCCAGCGTCGTGCCTTGCCAATAACCTTTGCCCTTGAGCCCATCTTTGCTCTAATACCACAGTTTGGTAACCTTTGTTGTGCCTGCTGGCGCCTGTGAGCCCATCATGGATCTACCAAAGCTTGCTGCTTGTATGTTACAGTTGGCCTTTGCTCTAGTGACCAATTCTCCCCTGGTTGTGACTAGGCATGGACCGGGCCTGGGTCGAGATGGGCTCCGGGCCGGGATTGGGCGGGACTTGGGCTTTGGGATGAAGGCCTGGTACCGGTCTGAGTTTGAACTGGGCCCGGGCTGGGTCAGGTCAATTTTTTATTTTTTAAATTAGTCTTTTAGAATTTATTCCTACCCTGCCACCCCCAAACCCTTTCAAAACACCCAGTACAACCCACCTAGCAGCGACCCAATGTCACACATTAAAAAATGGTCCGGGCTGGGCCCGGTCCACTAAAATCAGGGCCCGTACTCCGTAGCCCGCTCCCCATAAACTGCTGGTTCGGACCCAAAGTCCCGGTACCGCCCGATTGGGCCGGGTCGGGCAGTACCAGGGCAGGCCGGCATGTCTCAGTCCATTCGTAATTGTGACCCAGGTCTTACTAAAAGTGACATGTTATCTTCTATCTCAGTGACTTGACTTTGTTTATATTTGCAGATAGTTGTTCCTTTAAGAGAGACACTTTTCTTAAATTATCTAGTCACTGGCCCTGCAACTAATTCTAATCCCCAATGATAAGTTTTCTAACCTTTACAGAAAGAGCAACTAGTAAGAGAGTAATTTATGTTAGGAAAATGTGAACCACAATCTTTATTGGTGATGGACTATTGGCATTTAATGATAAACTATTTGCTATTGAAATGCTAAGAATGGAGAATATTCATTTCTCATTATTACTTAACAATAGCCCTAGGGGCTATGTTTAGCAGAAGTAGGAAGCCTTTGATTTACAGTTACAAATTATTATTTAGCAATATCATTGAAATTTACAAAATTTAATAAATCGTAAATAAGTTCGAATAAAAGCTAAGATAAACACTAAGTATGTGTTCGATCAATAAGTGAAGTTACTCTCAAAACGGTCCAATGAGATGCTCAAAAGATTACCTGTTTAGCTCTTAATGAAAACGGGAAGGAGAGACCATGAAACCAAATCCACTAGTGTAACTAGGGCATGATCTAGTCCTAGCTTTGGAACTACTTGTTTCCTTGTCTCGGATCAGAACCAATTTTGTTTCATTGTTTGGATCATAACAAATTTTGGAACCCAACTGAATTCGGTTTAATTTGAAATCTTGAACTCTACACGGCTAGGATTCGGAATTGCACCTTTAATGTCTCAAACTTGATCAGGTCCACCCCAATGCAATTAAGCACCTTCTCGGTTCATATCGCGTCTAGGGATGGACTCGGGCCGGGCGGCCCGACCCGGAATCGGCCCGGCCCGGTTACTGTTGAGCCCGGCCCGGCCCGGGAACCGGTGGGCCCAGCGGTTCGGGTCGAACCGGCCCGGCCTTTGGGCGGTTCGGGCTCGGGCCTATGTTTTGGTGAACCGGCCCGGCCGGTTCGGGCCTGGTTCGGGCCGGAATTTTTTTTTTTTTTGAAATTTGCTAAAGTTTTGGGTTGGATTAGGTATTTTGGGCCATTTGAGGTGGTTTGGGGTGGAGGGGGAGGGGTAGGGGGTTAAATAAGAGAAGAAGAAGAAAAAAATTAAAAATCCGGGTGGCCCGGCCCGGTCTGGCCCGGAACCGGACCCGGAACTGGACCCGGAACCGCCCACCACCGGTTCTGGCTCGGGCCTCATTTTTCTGAACCGAGGCCCGGCCGGGCCTAGGCCCGAACCGGCCCCGAACCGGCCCGAGGCCATCCCTAATCGCGTCCAAACTTGATCAGGCCCACCCTGCAATTAAGCACCTTCTCGTTTCATAACGCGGGTCATGTTCCAAACTTGATCAGGTCCATCCCTAACACAATCTATTATCCGCTAATCGTTAAATGGCAAGCCCACACATAAATGGACTCGTAATAGTTGAAGTAATAGCCCACATTAGATTGGAACAAGTTAGAGGCGATATTTAGGGAGTGTTTGCAATTGCTTCAACTTTAAAAAAGTGATTTTTTAAAGTGATTTTGGGAAAAGTGATTAATAGTAAAAGTTGGTAGTGTTTGAGGAAAAAGTGATTATGAAAAAGTAAAAGTTGGTAGTGTTTGGTAAAATAAGTACTTTTTGTGTAATAGAAAAAGTGAAAAGCAGTTTAAAGCACTCTTCCACCTGCTTCCAGCTTTTAGCTTTTAAGTGATTAATTTAAGCAGAAGCTGTCATTTGAAAACATCCCTTTTAACTTTTTTAAGCCAAAAGCTGAAAAATGCTTTTTTTAATCAACTGCAAACACTCCTTTAATTAGATGACAGGCAAATAGGTAAAAGTTGGCAAGTGGATACAACAATAATGATGGAAAGTGGATAAATTAAACAGTCTAATAATATGTGTTGGGAATAACAGGATCGTGCTAATATGAGAGAAAAACACTTCTATTACTTTCAAGAATAGAAAGAAGAGACATACAAGCTCTAACTAAAAACTCTCAAAACAACTCACATATCTCTCAAGAATATTCACAACTCAAACTTGGTTGTGGTATTCTAATCTATGATCTAAATTGCTTGATGATAGAAAGACTCTCCAAGCTCTCTATTTATAGCACCAAAACTAGGTACTAGGAATGTGGGAGGAAGATGGGTGGAAGCTTAGGAGAAGCTTCAATGGAGGTGTGAGGAAGGTGTTTGTTTGGTGTGAGGAAACTTCCCAGAGACATACTTGCACATGGAGGAAGTTTCATGGATGTTGCTCACAATTGGATTCTTCAATTTGCTTGTACTTGGATATGACCTGGAAATTGAATTCTTCAATTCTCCCCTTCCAGGCATATTCAAAACAAGCATCCCGACTATGTCTCTGCATAGCTCTAGCTTATCTCGTGTCACCACCTTCGTCAGCATGTCTGATGGATTCTCCTTTGTATTGATCTTCACTAGTCTCAACAGTTGTTGATCAATCGTCTCCCGTATCCAGTGATACCGAATGTCAATATGCTTTGTACGAGAATGGTACATGGAGTTCTTGCTCAAGTCTAGAGCACTCTGACTGTCACAATGTACCTTATACTCTTTCTGCTGGATCCCAAGTTCTTGGAGAAAGCGCTTTAGCCACAACATTTCCTTACCTGCTTCAGCGGCAGCAATGTATTCTGCTTCTGTTGTAGATAAAGCGACACACTTCTGCAATCTTGATTGCCAAGAAACGGCTCCCCCTGCAAAAGTGTAAATATATCCTGAAGTAGACTTTCTACTATCAGTATCTCCAGCCATATCAGCATCTGTGTAGCCTTCCAAGACTGGATCAGCTCCTCCGTAACAAAGGCATAACTTCGTGGTACCTTTCAAGTACCTGAGAATCCATTTGACTGCCTCCCAATGCTCCTTCCCGGGGTTAGAGAGAAAACGACTCACTGTACCCACTGCCTGTGCGATGTCTGGCCTTGTGCATACCATGGCGTACATCAAACTCCCAACTGCTGAAGAATATGGAACTGCTGACATCTCCCCGATCTCTTCCTTGGATCATTCATGTTGAATCTCTCAAGTACTCGTTCAATGTACTTCTCCTGAGATAGCCATAACTTGCGATTCTTCCTGTCTCGAGTGATCTGCATCCCAAGAATCTGTTGAGCCGGTCCTAAGTCCTTCATATCAAAAGACTTAGAGAGTTCTTTCTTCAGTTGGTTTATCTTCACTGCATCTTTCCCAACGATCAACATGTCGTCTACATATAGTAGAAGAGCAATGAAGGTACCGTCTGGAAGTTTCTTGATGTATACACACTCATCTGCAGTAGTCTTCTTGTAGCTTTGACTCTTCATGCATGAGTCAAACTTCTTATTCCATTGCCTTGGTGCCTGCTTCAAGCCATACAAACTTTTAGATAACTTACACACAAAGTTATCATTTGAGTTCTCAAAACCTTCCGGCTGCTGCATGTAGATTTCTTCTTTCAAATCTCCGTGAAGAAATGTTGTCTTCACATCCATCTGTTCAAGCTCTAAGTTCATACTTGCTGCCAAGCCAAGTATAACTCGGATTGAGGTCATCTTGACAACTGGTGCAAAAATCTCATCAAAGTCAATTCCTTTCTTCTGCTGGAACCCTTTGACAACCAACCGAGCTTTGTGTTTCACCACTTGTCCGCTTGCATCCTTCTTCAGCTTGAACACCCATTTGTTCCTTAGTGCCTTCTTGCCTTTAGGAAGTTCTACGATCTCATAAGTTTGATTTTTCTGCAGAGATTCTAACTCATCCTGCATTGCTATTAGCCATTTTTCTTTATCCTTATGAGATACAGCTTCTTGAAAACTCTCTGGTTCTCCATCTTCAGTTAACAAAAGATATTCAGATGATGTGTACCTTGTCGATGGTATATGCCCTCGTTCAGATCTACGAACAGTAGGGACCATATGAGAAGAGCTACCATCATCTGTGTCTGGCGGGGTGGATTGTGTCTCCCCTTGCCCTGCACTCTCTTCTGTCTCCTCGTGTTCTTCTGCTTCCGAGTTATCTTCATGCACTTCGTCCTCTTCTGGTGCTTCATTTGAAACTTGAGCACCCTCATTTGACTTCCGAGACATTGTGGGTTTTTCAATGTCTTCTATTGTCAAATCTTCGTGGAACACAACATCCCTACTTCTGAACACCTTTTTCTCCTTAGGATCCCATAGCCTGTATCCAAACTCTTCATTTCCATAGCCAACGAAAATGCATGGGATAGTTCTTGCATCGAGCTTCTGCCTGAGCTCTTTGGATACATGTGCATATGATGAACAACCAAATACTCTAAGATGTGAGTATGTAGGATCCTTACCTGTCCATAGCCTCTCTGGAACTTCAAAGTTCAGTGGTACTGAAGGTGATCGGTTGATAAGATAGCATGCGGTGTTGACTGCTTCTGCCCAGAATGACTTCGGAAGCTTAGCCATATTCAGCATGCTCCGGACACGCTCCATGATAGTCCGGTTCATTCTTTCAGCAACGCCGTTGTGCTGAGGGGTGCGTGGTACTGTCTTCTCATGTCGAATGCCATATTCTCTACAATATGCATCGAACGCCTTGGAAGTATACTCGCCTCCATTATCAGATCGGAGACATTTCAGCTTCTTTCCCGTTTCACGTTCCACCAAGACGTGAAATGTCTTGAAGCACTCAAATACCTGATCCTTCGTAATCAGGAAATACACCCATACTTTCCGAGAAGCATCATCGATAAAAGTCAGAAAATATCTGCTTCCACCGATTGATTCCACCTCGAAAGGACCACAGACGTCGGAGTGTACCAAACTTAACAACTCTGATCTTTTAGCTGAAGTAGAACTAAATGATACTCTATGATGCTTACCAAACAGACAATGACTGCAAAGACCCAGTGCAGCATTCTTGTCGATGTTGATAAGGTTCTTCTTAATCAAGGTAGTCAGCCCTTTCTCACCGATGTGGCCGAGCCTCAGATGCCACAGATTCTGAGTAGTCTCCTCAGCAATATTGAGGCTATCCGTACAAATCCTCAAATGAGTTTTGTACAATGTGCCACAAACATGTCCTCGAGCGATTGTCAAAACGCCCTTTGACATTTTCCAGGTGCCCCTGTTAAAGTGGTTTTCATACCCCTGTTCGTCAAGACATACCACTGACAAGAGATTGAGACGAAGGTCTGGAACATGTCTGACATCCTTCAAAGTGATTGTGCTCCCAGAACTCGTCTTTATTTGTACATCACCAATTCCAGCTATTTCAGATGAACTGGAATTGCCCATCTTCACTGCTCCAAAGTCTCCAGCTTTGTAAGTTGTGAAGTAGTACCTGTGGGGAGTAACGTGGTAGGATGCTACAGTATCTACCACCCATTCAGTGTCCTCTCTTGAGACGTGAAGGCATGTTTCATCATTGATAGTACAATACGCCACATCACCTGAGATTGTGATGAGCGCTTCACCACCCTTGCTCTTCGCTTGAGAATTGCTCTTGCCTCGCTCCTCTAACAATTTGTAGCAATTCTTCTTCATGTGACCCTCTATACCGCAATGGTGGCAGGTATAAGAAGGTTTCCGGCCATCTGATGATCTCCCCCGACTTTTGCCCCTGCTTTGCCACTTTCCTCTACTGTTTCTTTGTTGCTTTCCTTGTGATCTTCCTCGATTCTCCGTCACAAGGGCATGAGTCTCATCTGTGCTCATGTCTTTCCTTCTTGCCTCCTCATTGAACAGTGCATCCTTGACCACAGACATGGTAAGTTTGCCATCTGGGGCTGAGTTGCTGAGAGTAACAACTAGTGTCTCCCAACTATCAGGAAGGGAACTAAGAAGTAGTAGAGATTGCATTTCATCTCCAAGTGGCATTTCTACACAAGATAGTTGATTTACCAGACTCTGAAATTGACTAGTATGTTCGGCAACAGAAGTTCCACTTTTGAGCTTCATATTTACTAGGCGCCTCATCAGTAGGGCCTTGTTCCTTGCGGTCTTGGCCTGGTACATATCTTCTAACTTCTTCCAGAGGGCATAAGCATCGATTTCTTGTGCAACATGGTGGAAGACACTATGGTCAATCCATTGTCGGATTTGACCAATAGTTTTTCTATTAATTTTCTTCCATTCCGTTGACTTAGCAGGGTCAGGATTAATACCTTTCATCTCTATTGGATCACAAAGGTCTTTACAGCTAAGGAAATCTTCCATCCGAGGTTTCCATAGCGTGTAGTTGGTAGCCGTGAGCATAATCATAGCTCCGGAAGATGAAGTTGACTCGTCAAAGGTCATTTTCACCTTCTAAATAATTTTGATTTTCTGTTTCAGAAAAATCGGAGCTGAATTTCGAAAAACGGGCAGCACCGTTGCGTCCGGAACGGCCGAAAGTGGTGGGTAGGCACTTTCGGGGTCAAAATACAATTTTCGAAAAATTATAGGTGGAAATTATAATTTTCCAAAAATTGAGGGACCAAACTGCAAATTTTCAAAATTACAAACTGACCGGTGACGTGGCAGATGACGTGGCAGTGACGTGGCAGTGACGTGGCGGTGACTGGGCGATGACGTGGCAGCTGACTGGGCGTTGGTGAAAGTTGGCAGTTGACTGGTGACGTGGCGGCTGACTGTGCTGGGACTGCACATGTGGCGCTGACGTGTCGCTGGCGCAGCTCTGGCTGGCTGATGACGTCAGCGATGACGTCAGCTGTCTTCAACCTCTGTCTGCGCGTGATGACGTCAGCATGACGCAGGCATTTTTTGGCCGGCGTTTGGCGGCGCGTACGGCATCTTCCGGTGGCCAAAAAATTCCCCAAAAATACCAGTTTTCTCGTCTCGACGAGACGAATCCAACGGTATATTCAGATTGCAATTCCGAGCAATACTGAAAAACTCGATTTTTCAGACAGTAGAATTTTATCTGAAAAATTCTGGGAAAAATATCAAAAGCTCAACCAGGCTCTGATACCACTTGTTGGGAATAACAGGATCGTGCTAATATGAGAGAAAAACACTTCTATTACTTTCAAGAATAGAAAGAAGAGACATACAAGCTCTAACTAAAAACTCTCAAAACAACTCACATATCTCTCAAGAATATTCACAACTCAAACTTGGTTGTGGTATTCTAATCTATGATCTAAATTGCTTGATGATAGAAAGACTCTCCAAGCTCTCTATTTATAGCACCAAAACTAGGTACTAGGAAGGTGGGAGGAAGATGGGTGGAAGCTTAGGAGAAGCTTCAATGGAGGTGTGAGGAAGGTGTTTGTTTGGTGTGAGGAAACTTCCCAGAGACATACTTGCACATGGAGGAAGTTTCATGGATGTTGCTCACAATTGAATTCTTCAATATGTAGTACTAGTAATAGATTAACCGGCTACACCAAGTCAAAATAAGCTAGGGGTAGTTTGTAGAAAAATCATACTCCGGAAATAATTATTTAAAAACCGTTGATATCTTTTATCATTAAAAAACAGTTGATATCTGAAATTATTAAAAAAAACACCAGCTATAGCTTGAAACATTCCCGTCTACTTTTCCTGTATTTAAGAAGTTACAAGTCATTCTCTGCTCAATATTTTATTTTGCACAATGACATATATAATACATTTAAGCTGCACACTTGCTCAAGAGTGTTCCATCTAGGGGTTCAATACTCCTAAAAAACTAATGGATTATTGAATTTTAAATATTCGCATTAACATAAAAAATCAAGTGGTGGGTACGGAGCATATAATTTCAAAGAACAAATGTACCAAAACTTTTCAATTAAACCGTGAGGTTCTAATTAGACACAACAATTTCAAAGTTAGCGTACGTAATTAGGAATCATCATCATGTACGTTAAAACAGCAAGTGTTGGGGAAAATGGTGTAATAATTAGCTAGCTTTGATGAGGAAGTCGTGCAATGATATTAGGTCGTCTGTCTTAATTGTAATGTTTAGGAATCAAGCTAAAGAACTATAGAATATATGACCACCTAATTGTAATTAACATATACGATAGTATAAAAGAGAACACGTTCTATAAACGTCATCCTATACGTAAGTAAATGAGATTTGGAAAATAGTCAGTTCGGTAAGCTTTGGTTTTTTAAAGTGGAAACGTGGTTGCTGGTTCGTCTATTGTTTCAATTTTATTTTCAACTTCTAATTTCAATATCAAAATTTTCAACATAGGAGGACGCGCGAATACCAGGTACGTTCCCTTCCCTATACATGAACGCTATGGGTCTGTTTGCAACAGCTTCTGCTTTTAAAAAAGTGCTTTTTTTAATGAAATGTGGAGAAATGATTAAATAAAAGTTGATAGTGTTTGATAAAAAAGTGATTTTGAAAACTAAAAGTGGGTAGCGTTTGGTAAAATAAGTGCTTTTTGTGTAATAGAAAAAGTAAAAGCACTTTTGACGCGGAAGTCGAGAAAAATAAAAGTTATAGTGTTTGGGAAAATAAGTGCTTTTTTAAAGACAAAAGCTGAGAAATGCTTTTTTAAAATAAGTTGCAAACCAACCCTATATTCCCTCCTAGACAAAAGTGAACCAATGACATCTTGAAATCATGTTATAACATTATTATAAGGCATTAATATGATAATATCAATACTATAACATTGACAAAATATAGTTCTAAAATGACAGTACTTACTTTTATTATGAAAAAACACGGAAATTCTTTATAAGAAATTCACTTTATTTTTCTGTCATACTACGTATATATTATAAAATTGCTCAAGTTTCTTTGTTTAAGAAAGCATCTTGTAGTCATATTTCTAAAATAGGTGTTTTATTATATTTGACAATGTTTTAATTCTTGCACGTTTTTTCAAACCTCTCAATAATACTCAATAATTTCAATAGATTCTCGGTCAGTGCTATGTATGAAATAATGAAAAAAAGTATCCCTGTATGTATGTCCACTTAAACTACACTTCTGTGAGAAAATATACCTTTGGATTATATAGAGACAATCAAACACAAGTGATAAAATTAGAACAAATGGACCATTCAACTATATATGAAAAACAAGTATCCCCTCTATGTATACCCTCGAGGCATAAACTATTTGTATACGATAGTATAAGGGTATATCTGTCTTAATTTATGACTAATGTGTTTAGTAGATATAAAGAAATCAAACTGAGAGAGATATCTACTTTAATGAATTTAACTCATTTCGGATTATGATGTTTGATTGACGATAAAACAATTTGATCCCTTTCTCACTCATATTATTTCTAGTAGATAAAATTTATATATTCACAAACTACATTAAAATTGCTACAAAGTCTGATAAATAAAATGTAACTTTGATAAAATATTTTGATATATAAAGCACAAGATTAAGAGTAATTTAAGTTGACCATGTGAAAAGTGAATGATAGGTTAATTTTGGGACGGAGGGTGTATATATTTTGGAACAAATGACATGTACCACGACCTCATGAGAAAAATAATGAGAATGAGTTTGGTGCGTTAAAATTAAAAATTGTGCAATATGAAACAAAAATTGAGAATTATAATGTTTATCCTCCTTTAATTTTTCAGGGAAGGAACAATCTCCTTAGAACCTCATTAGAACCGGGCTGTGTGTGTGTATTCTCCTTACATTAAATGGTGTAACACTTACTTATTCAAATAAGGTTTTTCGATTATTTAGCATTTCCCTATTTGTGAGGAGCATGTTTGTGCATCCGGATGTGAGACATTGAGGTCCAAATGGGCACCACTGAACAGAGGAACCGTACAGCTAAGGGCACATGTATGTATGTGAAACTGACTTTAATGAAGAAGTGAGTGACCTCACCTCAGACCACCAGTACTTGCAACTAGCTCACATCAAATAATGCATGCAGTTATAGGAGTATGCAACTACATGGATGTACGTATAAGAGGTTTGAAATTAATTAATAAAAAACGTGTAACCTATATAATATATACATATATAGACATTAGACATTATATGCCTAGCTCTCCGTCCCAATTTGTTTTGCAAAATCAACATTTTTTATCAACCAATAATAAAAGTCAACCCTCCATATGCATAACTAATTCAATTTTTAATAATTAAAATTTACATATTCATAAACTACATCAAAATTTCTTCAAAGTTGTATACTCCAAATTAGAATATAATAAAAAATTGGCATTCTAATTAAGTGAACAAGACGGAACTGTTTGACCACTAAAAGTAAAATTTGCAAATCAATTTGGGACGAAGGTAGTATATGTAAGGCACGACTCTAGTGAAAACAATTCTTCAATTCACGTGAGATATGATAATCATCTAAAATCTAAATGGTGCATATTTTGGTCGTAGAGTTGTACGTTTCCAAATTTGAAAACTGCTCAAAATATGACCAAAACATACACTTCACGAAGTTTTTTTGAAAGGAAAACTCTGATGATATCAATTCAAAGCATCGCTTGCCATTTGACAAAAAATGCATGCAATCAGGACTATCTAGATAAAATTGGCTTCCGTCCGCCTTATCCAGGGCATCCCTAGCGACCGTATGAGCTACCCTGTTGGTTGACCTCCTACATAACTTGACATCAATTTCTACTTGGTTAAGCAAAATGTGTCTAATATCTTCTATAATAATATCCAACTACTACGAGTTATCATATCGTCCTCTCATTCTATCCTTGAGACTACAATACAACACGTTAAAAATAGAACTAAGTATGTTTTATTTCGTAAATAAGACTTATTTAGTCTTATTAAAAGAATAATTAATTTGATTAAAACTTCCCGGCATACGAGTTCATAAGTAGGACTGCTAATATTTTAGAGCCCGTTTGGTAGCACGAAAATCGGCTGTTTTGGCTGATTCTGCTGAAATTTATGAAATTCTGGCTGAAGTGGCTGTTTTGGCTGATTCTGCTGATTCAAGAAAAAAATATTTTAAAAATATATTTTATTAATAAATTATAGAAAAAATTACATGTAAAAATAGCTAAAATAGTTCTCTACAGTAACTTCAGCCAATACAGCCAGAAAAGTAACTCCAACCTTACTTTTTCTGCTTATTACACAATTCAGCACACAAAAGTAAAAGTTACGTGTTTGGTGAAAAAGCTGGCTGATAAGCCTGATAAGCCGAAAAAAGAGGTCTCCAAATGGGCTCTTATACTCATAATAGGACTCACCTTGCAATAGTAAAAAAGTTCACTACATATATTTATAAAAATACCGGCCACTTCCATTTTTCATTCATGTTAATGCACGTTTCAATTTTCGATAATGTACATCTCTCAAATCTCACGCTCCAGATTCATTCACATTAGTATCCTTATTCTCATTTGATCAAAGTCTTTTTATAAATATAAATGTGTATTTACATGCATGCATGGATTTATATTTGGTAGGACAGGGTTGCCCGGTACGTGCAGAAGTCGTCCTTCAAAGTACATTCAATCAATGCTGTGTCGTCCAAATCGGTCCCCTAATGTAAACTCGCCAGGCCAGGAGATCTACGCCACCCACCCACCTCCTTCAATTCCGATCGGTCCTTGATTTGTCATTTGCTCTTTAATTGCATGATTAATAAATAATAACACCTCCATTCCCTATATCACAAAAACGTACTATCGTTTGATTCGTTTTCATTTCATTTCCCCAGCCTTATATTATGCATGGCTCGGAGATCGATGTCTTAAATTTAGAGTAACAATATAATGTAATTTAGTCATACCAAAATAAGTGCATAAATTTAGTTATACCAAAATAAGTGCTTAAATTTAGTTATACCAAAATAGTTATGAACTAATTTACCTTGCGGAGCAAGTACTGCTCATTCCCTATCACGAGCCACTGTTTTTATGTCTGATAGTCAATTTTGAATTGTGTATTTCCTTCTATTATACTCCCTCCATTCTTTATTATCTGTCCCGCTAGCCTTGGGCACGGGTTTTAATAGAAAAATAGTAGGGTAAATGTAGAGTGTGTAGGGTAAATGATAAAGTAGGAAAGAGAGTGTATTAAAAAGAGTAAAGTGGTGATAACGTGATGATAAAGTAGGAAAGAGAGTATATTAAGTAGAGTAAAGTTATGATAAAGTAGGAAAGAGAAAGTAGTTTGTAAAAAGTAAGAGGGGTAAAAGTAAAAAAAGTGGGGGTATTTTATCAAAAACTTTCCTAAAATAGAAAGAGAGACAAATAATAAAAAACGTCCCAAAATGGAATGCGAGACAGATAATAAAGAA